GACAACACACAGGAGGGAGAGAAAGAGAGAGAAAAAAAAGGAGGGGGAGGCAGGGGGGGGGGTCAGAAAATAATAAAAAAGAGGGGGCGAGGTCGGGGGGGGTCAGAAAAGAAGTAAAAAAAATGGGGGGAGGGAGGGGGGGTTGGGTTCAGAAGAGACTCAAAAGAGGTAAAAAAAGAATTAGCCAGCAACATTGTCCGTTTTTTTTTTTTGTTTCTGTTTCTTTGGTTTTGTTGTTTCGAAAAGACGAGTCCAGTATTTCTTGTACCATATGCCGGAAACCTTTCAATTTCAATTTTTAAAAATTTTAATGTTTTTTGACAGGGCCTTGTGGAGCAATTTGAGTCATTTTATGATGAGGATCTTCCAGCTTTTACTAGAGTAGAGGACCTTCTGCAGCATGCCAAGCTGTATGACCTCACACAGAAGCAGTTGAAGGATGTTTTGGAGCAGGCCAACATATCTCCCCTTTTAATGGATGAGCTCCTGACGGTACGCAGTCTCCTCCTCCTCCTCCTCCTCCTCCTCCTCCTCCTCCTCCTCTTCCTCTTCCTCCTGATTCTCGTTGTGTCTTTGCTGTTATAGATACTTCTATGGGTGTACTCACATCAGGATTACAGCAGGCCAACGTATGTCCCCTTTTGATGGATGAGCTGTGTTGATGATAAGCACCCCTTCCTCGTCGTCCTCCGTTTTCCTCCTCCTCCTCCTCCTCCCCTCCTCCTCCTCCTCCTCCTAATTCTCCTTGTGTCTTTTCGTTCGTAGATGATTCTAAGTGCCTACTCACCACAGTATTTGCCTCGATGTATCTGATTGGTGTCATGGCCAATTTCATTGAAAGTATGCCCAAAGTAACCCTAACTTTGCAGTACATATGCATGTATATATATCTATATGGGGTAACTAGGGCGAATCACGATTCCAGTTTAAAATCCAGTTCAGGCATCCCTCAAATACAACACATCCCCACCCGATCCTAAAGCTAGGTTGTATACATTCACAATTTTCCTTGGTTTGACAGAACATTCACAAAATCGTGACTGAAACACATTTTCAAACTGAAACCGTGACAGCACCCGAATTTTCCCTATCTATATGAAACAGTCTATCACAGCCCCTCGTTTGTTGTCGTCTTCTCCCTGTCAGCCTACATCTCACCGGACTTCTTTATGATGATAGATACATACATTTTGTAATTATTTCCCAGACCTCTTAAACCACCAGTACTTCCTAGAGTCGTGCCCGTTAACGCGCCACGATTTTAGGAAACGTATGGGCTGCTACAGGAGCGCCCAAATTCATCCGACTAGAAACGTTTCTACTCCTTTTTTTTCCGCGGCGATAGATGGGCCAAGTACTGGTGGTTTAACAGTGCAGGAAATGGAACAGTGCTTCTCTTCACATCCACTTATCAGGTCCTCATGTTTATCCGGCTCTTCATTGTCCTCAGTAGAGCCATGCAAGCCCTCCAATTAGCCAATTACAGGTGGAGATTGGAGCCGGGAGTGCCTGCGGTCAGTTGAATAGGTGGATGCGTTCTTGAGGCTGTCCAACGCCTTCCTCCATTACCCGCCCCTCTGCTCAAGCTTGCATTGACACACATTTTATGGCCTGGACGTGCCATGCTTGACCAAATTTCTTCGGCGCGCTTCTTTTGTGAGCGTTGAGCTTGCTTTTCTGTTGGCATGTCAGCTAAATGTTTTCAGTATTATACTTGACACCTAGGCTACCAGCCGGGCCGCCCGGGTCACCCTATTTTCCCGGGCGGCCCGGCCGTGCAAGGACTAGGGAAGGTCCCAGCCAAAAAAAAAAACTTCCAAAACATCCAAAACATCCGAAAAAAAACAATGTTTGCCTCAGGGTCATGTCGGAATTCTTTACCAAATTTAAAATAAAAATTATTTATTATTATTATTATTTTTTTTATTTCTTTTTGGCCCGGCCAGGCAGGTGGACCCGGGCCACTCTGAGGGCCTAAGCTTGACACACATTTTGTGGCCTTGACATGCCATGCTCGAAACGTTTGCGACTCTTGAGCTTGCTTTCCTGCTGGCATGTCAGCTACATGCCATGTGTCGTCAATGTTTTCAGGAAGCGGTTATGGAGAGTATGTGTCTCTTCTGTGTGCACTATCCCCGATGCCATCAGCCGCCACATCCTCTCCTTTAATGTCCCATATGTAATGCAGAAAATCCTCCGGCTGGACTCATAAATGGACCTTCTCTGCCTTCGCCGGACAAGGAATGACACAACAGCCTGAGGCAGAGAATAGATTCTCACATGAACCACCTGCAGTGCGCTATACTGAAAGCTGATTGCTGTCAGGGTGAGCAGTCGCAGACCAGATCTTGCAAAAGCTACCGGTAGGCACCCGTACTTTGGATCAGGCCGCATCATCGTTTGTCCATAGACAGGGAATGTTGACTGCGAAACCCCAAAAAACTGGCTCAATGTCGCACTGTGTTGACCCACCTGTAATGAACTCAGTCAGGAGAGAAACTCGTCAAGTGTCGAAATACAAGATGTCTCAGCGCTGATCAACGTCTCCAATAATCATGAAATGTGATCTGAAGTACAATGTCTTGTAACCAGAGGACGAAGCTGAGAGGAGGGAGATAAGACTTAGAAGGTGGAAGAGAAAGTATCCATCAATATCATAGAAGATAGATCTCCCTCACAACCCACTCCTCCTTCGGGCATCTCCCCTCGTCCACATCAGCAAACAGTAGCCCACAGACGAGCCTGACAAGATCCGATCACAGCATAGTGCCACGTAGGCACAGATCTCATGAAGACGTCACAGCAGCGCACAATGTCGACAGCATCATCACAGGTAAGCTTCCTCTCTCTCTCTCTCTCACAACCAATCTCACAGCCCTGATCTCCCTCCTCGTCGATACCCCAATCTGTGTTGTAGACAATGTGGCAACGCCACGTCAGCAATCAAGACTCCAGCTGGCGCCAATAACAGAGAGGCGCCAGCGTCTCAATGCAGCAGTCTCGTGTCGTCGTCTCCTGCCATGCCAGCGTAGTCCTAGCGTCAAGCCAGCGTCATGCCAGCATCCAGCCAGCGTCATGCCAGCATCGAGCAGCAAGTGCAAAACTGAATGTTTGACCAACAGGGTCTGGGTCAACAAGTAGTGTTGACGCAATTGACTAGCCTCTGGTCTCCCAGGCACGAGGGCCCAGGTTGGCTCATAGTCGATGCCCTGGATCGCGTACAGTTGCAGACCTCCACTTGGGCCAGATCCTGCCTGGATACCTGCATACCGCCAAGTGTGTGTGTCTGATTGGTGGCCTTGACTGGGTCCGTGCAGACTTTGACTCGTGAGCCTCAATTTCCTTCCTACAGTTGACTGTTGACCCTCCAGTCAACTGTCGGGTGCTCGGCCTCTGAAGCCTCGTTTCGGGGGCCTTGTTCCAGACATTCGGGCGAAAGTGGCCTCGCTGTGGCCTGTGGGCGGGCCCTGGCCGACGAAAATAGCATATCTGAGGGGGTTATTGCACACCTAAAAAGCTTTTGTTTTCATACATATGATGACAGTCAACACTGTACTCAGGCCCCATCATCGTCTGTCCATAGACAGGGAATGTTCAGTGCAGAACACCGAAAAACTTGATAATGCTGCACTGTGCTGACCCACCTGATGTATGGTTAGCATGTGATCGGCATTCTTTGTATAGTGAGGATTGTGAGGATATAGCCCATGCAAGTTTTTGTTTTCATACATATGATGACAGCGAACCCTGTACTAAAGTGTGACACTCTGACAAGGCATGTTCTATTTTTGTAGAGAGGGGCTGCATGGCAGTGCCTATACAATTGTGGCAGCTGTGCCTCTGTGTTCCCAGCAGGTTTGAGCCATGTTGCCTGTGACATCTGTCTGTGCCGTGCCATGTGACACAGTCGCTAAACTGCGAGAATTAGATGTGGTGCTCCCACAGTCCACACCCGAACAAGGCCTTTCTCGTCTGCAGGGGTGGCCACTTACCATAGGCAAGGCCTTCTCTTCAGCTCATTTTTCTCAGCCGCTGCGACCCTGGAGTGGCCTCCCGCGCCAGTCTCGAGCAGTCTGCTTCGCCTGCGAGTACTGAGGAGCCAATTCGTCCTCTTCCTCTTCTCCTCCCTGCACTTTCCTCCTCCTCTCCCTTCCTCCCCTTCCCCCCCGTGTCGGACTACTACATGCATACGGCGGGTGAGCATTACTGAGAGAGAGAACAGCAAAACAAAAAGGTGTGCTGAAAGGCAAACCGATGTGTACGCATCCTGTGCTCAACTACATAAACGTGATGGGCTTGGCTCCTTTCAGGATACAACAATGATAAGACCCCCATTTCATCAAAACTTTACATTTGTGGAAAGATTACAATCACCTAAAATGTCATAACTAACTTGGCAGAAGGTTATGAGAAATCTCACAGACTGATGTTATGAACCAAAGATCTTGTAGTCGTCTGTCAAGTCACACGTCTATAGACTCTATACATGTACCTCCTGAAACAAGTCTAAGCTGCTCACAGCAGCAAGTCAACTCAAACAATGTGTGTCACACACCAAAATAGAGAGTACAGCCAACTCTTCCACTTCTCCTCAAACACCTTCCAACAAATTGTTGTCTCAGCTTGAAAGTGTATATGCTTCGCCGAAACACCAAGAATCAAGAAGCGCTGCGAAGAACGGTGGCCAAGTTCCTCCCTCCTCTCTCCTTCTTCACCGGCTCTTGCATGGCAGCTAGTCATCAGCTAGCCTAGCACTACTCCCGCCTACCTCAACCCAGTATCTGCTGCAGCGCCAGTGCGGGTGTCTCCCTTCCAGCAGTCAGTGAACTTGAGCGCGGCAACGTCCAGTGCGGCTTCCTTCAGTCCGTATACAGGCAGCCTCGGAGCCTGCGACCGAAGTGTCCTTTGACTGAACTTGCCAGACTTTCATATCGACAGGGAGCTTGTAGGCAGGGTTCGTGTGAGTAAAGTCGAAAGCTTTTCTTAGGGGTACCTCTAACTCTCAGCAACGTGGAGAGTCCTCATCCATGAGTCAAATGCATCCTGGGCGGAATGTTTTTTTTTGGGGTTCAGCCTGTTGATGAGTCGGTGAAAATCTGACAAAACTGTCCGGCATTATCATGCTTTTCATTTGTTTTTATTGCGTATAGCGAACATGACACCAATCAGTGTGTGTGTGTGTGTGTGTGTGTGTGTGTGTGTGTGTGTGAGAGAGAGAGAGAGAGAGAGAGAGAGAGAGAGAAGAAAGGCAGAAAAGTGCATCAAGGTGTTGACAGGCACTCTCCTGCTTTGCACTTTGTAGTTCAGGCAGCAGAGTACCTGTCTTGCAGCACATCAACAAGCACATTCAACTAGCAGACGTGCACAGTTGCAAACAGTGCAAAGCAGGCACAAGACTAAAGAGACAGAGAAAAAAAGATGAAGAAAGTATGATTAACTTTGAAGTTTGAACTTTGAATTTAGTAATTTAACTTTATTTAAATAATTTAAGTTCATAACTTCATATAACTCAGAAGTTCGAACAATGCAGTTCACTTCAGAACGTCAGAGTCTTCAGACTGGCAGCACTGTCAGTGCTCTCTCTCTCTCTCTCTCTCTCTCTCTCTCTCTCTCTCTCTCTCTCTCTCTCTCTCTCTCTCTCTCTCTCTCTCCCCCCCCCCCAACGGACAGCAGTGGCGGGCGGCACGTAGAAACGGCCGCTTTGAAATTGCTCGGGCCTGTGTGAAACCTGCCACCCCAAAAACCTGCAGTGTCCTGTGTCCGGACCTCTAGGCCCTGTCCGGTGGGGTGAAACGATACTGAAAAATCACCCCGTTATTTTTCAAGGGGCGGCCAGGACCCGCAAAACGTCCTGCACCGGCCTTTTTTTTTTTTTGATTTTTGCCCCGGGGGCCTCCATCCGGACATCGGACCCGGACATGTTGCTCCGGACTGTCTGGAACCCGGTCTGGACGTACGGTCGGTTACCATGGTTGTAAGCTCACGAGTAGTCCATGTCCATGGTGGCTTGCTGTAGAGAACGGGGATTGGATGGGCCAGCAAGAAAGGGAGTGATATCAAAGGTACAATGACGTCCATTAGAGCCCTGCAAGCATTCCAAATAGGCAATCAGAGATCAAGATTCGAGCCATGCAAGCGTTCCAAATAGCCAATCAGAATGCTTGCATGGCTCCACTGATTGGGTTGTGTAGTTCCTACATGGGCCCTTCAGGCCGGACATTTTCCCCTCGGCCCCCAGGCGGCGCAGCCCCTTTGGGCTGGGTGACTTGGTGGGTCATGGCCACATTTTAGGCCTAGGCTCATATTTTTGTCCCATTTGCTTTTCTTTTATTCAGCATTTAATAATTAATTTACTGTGTTACCAGCTGGGTGGCCCGGGTTGCCTCAGATTGGCTCGGGTGGCTCGGCCGGGCCAGGTCTGGGCAATGTCCTGGTCAAGGTCCGGGGCAGTCCCAGTTCACAAAAAAAAAATCTATATCATCCAGAATTGCAAACCAAACATCTTTTGCCTGCCGGTGACCACGAAATTCGCTATGGAATCCGAAATAAAAAAAGAAAAACAAAATACTAAATTGTATCATACGGATTCATAGTATTTTCATACCCATTTATGCCCCTTTAAGCCCCCCGTCGAGCCCTTTCGAACCCTGTTTATACCCCATAGACACCCTTTGGTGAGATTTAACCAAACTCAAAGATAAGGCCGGATTTGGTCACATCTCAGTGGGTGTAAAATTGCCCCACTGCCAAAAATTGAAAAAAATAAATAAATAAAAATTGACCTCGTTTTTGGTGTTGCCTGGGTACCCCAGGCAGGTCACCCCCTGTGCAAGTTCGCCCAGGTCACCTGGCAGGGCGACTCTGGTAACATAGTTTATTTATTTATTTTATCTGATTGAGTTTTGTTTGTTCTATTATTGTCTGTCTCAGATGTCTCATTTCGGACTCTTCTTTTAGTCTGAACAGGCAGGTGCCTATTCGGACCAGTGGATTTCAGTTTCGGCCGAAGTAGGGCAGGTTCAGGTTTGTCTGCATCTGGAGCTGGACCAGGTATTCGTTTTTTTGTGCTTGGTCCAGTCCCCAGTACCCTGCTGCATCAGCAGGGTAGCCTGGACATCCGATAGGGACCGAGGCAGGCCGTTTTAGGCTAGGACTGCAGGACTAGGACTTGGGCCTGTGATCAGGACCGCCGTTTGGACCTTAGAATGGACGACCCTGATCACAGAGGGTTGGGCATCCAGCTTGGCCCAGCGGTATATAGCTGGGTCAGTCCTCCTGGTGAGGACATTCAGCTGGAGCACACTTTCAGGCATCATGCTACCACCATCGCTGGTCAGTATTCAGGGACAACATCAGTATCAGGTGAGAGGGAGAGCGAGGGGGGGAGTTATTCTTCTTGTTCTTCTGTTCCCTGATTCTTCTCTGGCCCTCCATATCCACTACCTTCCGCTTCCACTTCTTCTTCTTCTTCTTCTTCTTCTTTGAGAGAGAGAGAGAGAGAGAGAGAGAGAGAGAGAGAGAGAGAGAGAAGAGAGAAAGAATTCAGGCATGTGCCCAGGATCTGATTTAACATTCTGGGAGAGACGATCATTGGACAGTTGATGGGGGAGACTATTTTTGGAATACTTCGAGTTATACTCTTGTCTTTGCCCCCTTCTCTCTTCGTCGTCTCCTTCCCACCTCCATCATCCGTGGTTTGTTCCGCATGTGTGTGCGCAAGGAGGGGTCTTTCTTCCATGTAATGACTCCCATCCTTGCTGATGAGGCATGTGTGATGCTTTCTGTAAGTCGGGTCTGAGTCTGACGAGTCAGGTCATATCTCTGAGTCTTCCGCTGTGCTACATTGCATTATATCGTTTCTTTCTGGATGCACATTGCTTATTTGCTGATCTCATTGTCTGTCCTGAGTCCTACTCATCAGATTGGTGCTCTTTGGATCTGCACATTGCTCATCTCCAGATGAGCATGCGTCAGCTTGCATGGCTCCACTGATTGTAGTGCTTGCATGGATCCAATCTTCATCTACACTTCTCAGCAAGTTTTTTTGTGTTCTCATCGGTTGGTTATTTGGACGTGTTGCTTTGTCAAGCTGCACACAAATTTTACAGCTATAGCAGATCAGTCTGTAGCTGTTGCGATGAAAGAGGGGTTGTTCAGAAGCCATGAGGGCGTCTCCCTTTTTTTATTTTTTTAAGAGAGGGGATGCTCCTATGTGGCATGCAGGATATACTAAAGAGAGGGCGAGAGACTGAAGGCAGTGAAGGGTGATTTTTGGGACCCCCGTCACCCCTCTGATTTTGCCATCCAGTTTTCCACAGTGTCCCCAGAACTGACTGTAAGAAATGTAAATCTCGTCCAATCTAGCAGAGTAATTAAAGCATCACCCCATCACCCCCATCCCCCC